TCCCCTTACCACATTTTCCCAGAAACCAAGGATGTGAAAAATAAAACATTATTCACACGGATGATGGACCTTATTGGTCAATTCTCTTAAGCACAGTATTCTTTCAAAAAGAAAAGATTTGCATCATTTTCCATTGACTTGACTAGTCGAATAGAGGTGTCGATCCCCTTGGAGGAAATGAATACCTAGCTATAGCTTGTTTTTAAATTTAGAAGGCAGGCAAATACGAGAGGTAACATATTATACAAAACAAGCTTGAACATGACATCCTCATCCTCTGTTCTAATTGCTTCCATTGTGGCAACAGTCATATGGGTTACTATTCTTACTGCGGCCTTGATAATGGTAGCAGTAGCAGAGTCGCAAGAATCAGAAGCTCAGGCATTGTTGGATTGTGGGTGGTGGAATGACTATGTTGACATTGATGATCACTGTAGCTGGCCTGGTGTAACATGCAACCATGATAGAAGCGTCATCGAGATTAGCCCTCAAATTTATTTAAATTTGGGAGAAAGATTTACAAAGTTGAACTTTTCTGCCTTCCTCAATCTTCTTCGGCTTGATCTTAATAACCAAGGGCTTAACGGAAGCATCCCTTCTGGTTTGGGTCATCTAACCAAACTAACAACACTGTCTCTTGGAAGCAACCAACTTAGTGGATCCATTCCACCAGAAATTGGGAAGCTACATAATTTGGTTGTTTTGAATCTTTCCAGCAACTCTCTCTCAGGTGAAGTTCCTTCCATTTTAGGCCAATTAGCCAATTTGGATTTTGGTTACTATTGACCCATTCTTCAACATGGTTGCAGGTCCATTATCTACCATTTTAGGTCTTTCATCCGACTTGAATTACCTAAATCTTCGGAAAAATCATATCATTGGTTCTATCCCCTTGGAAATAGCAAACTTGAAGAATCTCAGCTACCTAAATATGGGGGGAAACCAAATTCATGGTCCCCTACCTCCTACTTTGGTTCTTTTATCCAATTTGAAATGCCTAAATCTGAAGTCAAACCAAATCAATGGTTCTATCCCCTTGGAAATAGGGAATTTGAAGAATCTAACTCACTTGAATCTTGGTTCAAATCTTTTATAGGGTTTAATACCTGGAGACATTGCGAATGCAGAATCTTTGAAATTCTTAAAACTTATGCGGAACAGGTTTAGTGGAGAGATACCTTCTGAGCTTGGGAACTTAACAAATCTAGTTACCTTGGATCTCAGCCACAATCGTCTTACAGGTACAATTATCTTTTTAGCAAAATTCTTCATTTTAATTTACTTTGTCATATACGTTTAGGGAAGCAACCTTGGATAATTTGTTTGCTTTGGTTTTCACTCGTTTATTTCAATTCCTTTATCCAATCAAGAAATATCTAAATAATTTCTTCATAAACTGCTTTAGAGTAAGAACAAAATAATTAGTCAAATCCTCCAAATCCTTATGAAATATGTGGTAACAAGGATATTTTCACTGGTTTGATCCTTCCTGCTCTGCTTCATCTAACCAATCTAAGCTACTTGTATCTTGATTCAAATCTGTTAGAAGGACATATACCAAGAGATATTGCGAATTGCATGAATTTAGTGGAGTTATCATTGAGCAATAACTACTTAAATGGAAGCATCCCTTTTCAGATTAGCTATCTCTATAAACTCTCACTAATTAATATCAGCCACAATTCTATCAGTAAAGAGATACCTCACAAACTTGGGTATATACCGGAGTTGAAGACCTTGGATCTTAGTTACAATAATCTCTCAGGCCCCATTCCAAATTACTTACTTTATCAAACTTCTTTGAGGGGCTCGTCTCTTGATTCAAATTCTTTGCAAATTTTAAACCTCTCCCAGAATAGATTGACTGGAACCATTCCAACTCAGTTTGGAAATTGCTTGAATTTAGTGGAGTTGTCCTTAAGCAACAACTGCTTAACTGGAAGCATCCCCATTCACGTTGGTCATCTCTATAGACTCTCACGAATTGATATTAGCTACAATTTCATCGGTGGAAAGATACCTTCCCAACTTGGGGATTTACCAAACTTGGAGACCTTGAATCTTAGTTACAATAATCTCTTAGGTCAAATTCCAATTACATTGCTTCATTTTCCAAAAAGTTCTTTCATAGGAAATAAGGGATTATATCATCGTCATCTTAGCAACAAAGCGTTGAGGCGTGTTAAAATTATTCTTCCCACCACCATTTCTGTTGTCTTGGTATCTCTTGCTTTGTTGTTGCTTTCTAGAAGAAAACATGGAGCTAAAAGTAGGGAAGCATATCCAAGTCCAACAAAAAATGGGGATATATTCTCAATATGGAACTTTGATGGAAGGATTGCATATGAAGATATCATTGAAGCAACTGAGGATTTTGACATCAAATATTGCATTGGCACTGGTGGCTATGGCAGTGTTTATAGAGCACAATTGCCAAGTGGCCAAGTAGTCGCTTTGAAGAAACTACATCGGAGGGAAGTAGAGGAGCCAACCTTTGATAAGAGTTTCAAGAATGAGGTTAAGATGTTGACAGAAATACGACATAGGAACATTGTTAAGCTTCATGGATTCTGCCTGCATAGGAGATGCAGGTTTTTGATCTACCAATACATGGAAAGAGGAAGCTTGTTTTGTGTGCTTAGAAATGATGATGAAGCTGTGGAGCTAGATTGGAACATAAGAGTGAATATCATAAAAAAATATAGCGCATGCTTTGTCTTACCTTCACCATGATTGCATCCCACCTGTCATTCATCGAGACTTATCAAGCAACAACATTCTATTGAACTTGAAACTTGAGGCTTTTGTTGCTGATTTTGGAAATTCTAGGTTTTTGGATCCTGATTCATCCAATTATACCGTACTTGCTGGCACCTATGGTTACATTGCCCCAGGTTTTCTCCATCACCATTCTTCTTCTATTATCTTATTTCATAATCTACTATTGAACTGACATGTTAAACATTGTACATTTTTTCTATTCAGAACTTGCCTATACGATTGCTATGAGTGAGAAGTGTGATGTTTTTAGCTTTGGAGTTGTGGCATTAGAAGTATTGATGGGAAGGCATCCTGGAGAACTGTTAACAATGTCATCATCACCATCATCTTTGCAAAATGCGATGCTAAGTGACATATTAGATGTGCGCTTATCCCCTCCAAGAAGTAGAAATATTATCCAGAATATTTTGGTTGCTGCTACACTTGCATTTGCTTGCTTGCATGCAAAACCCAAATCTAGGCCAACAATGAAATTTGTGTCTCAACAATTTGTTGCCCGTCAAAGACGACTCTTGAAGCCTTTTCCAACTATTTCTCTATTGGAACTGGTGAATAGTGAATTGGAGATGAAAAATGGAATAGAATCTCAACCAAAGGTTTCTAGTCATCCAGTCAAGTCTCATGGTTCTTCTTCAAATGAAATTCTTGATGTCTAATTCTAGAAGTGAACAGGCTACCTTGTTTTGATAAGGGATAGTCAATAAAATAACTTCCTCCTTTGGTTAATAAAAAGAAGTACCCATAACGTATGTCTAGCATATATTCTTATATATACATTAATAATAAGTGAACATACCCTGAGATTTCAGAAATCATTTATCACAAACTAAACAATGAATTAATCTTGTTCCAAAATTATTTTAGAATCTATTGATTTATTTGATTGTTAATATGGAGCTTAAACAGCATACCTGATCATCTTATTTTTTCAGTTACTAAAATTGTTTAAATACCAATTGTTATTTGATTGCAATCAATCAAGGAAGTCAATAAAATATTTAATTCTTATTTCAACCCAGGTCACAGATAGGAATTGGGGAAATTTTTTAAATTTGTTAAATACCTATAATTTTGTCGAGGTGGTGAGGCTGATCGTGGCCGCCAGAAGCCATTGAGCTAATACGGACTACCGTTTAGAAATCTGTAATCTTCTACAGTTGGATATTGGGTGGAACGAGTGGCAGTTTTCTTACTGCTTTGATAAGATGAAGGAAAATCTGTGATTCACTTTGTTATTATTGACCGGTGGTTGATTGAAGCTCTGCACCGAGAACCCATTTGAGTGTTTTTCAGGAAGCCCGAGTGAAATGGGGAGCACAGAACGAATGAATGGTGGAACATGAAGTTGAGTCAAAGTAACCAAAATGATGTCGTTTCACGGCATGGTATCTGTACTTTACTTTTTTGATGGACTATGTCATTTAGGCCCAATCATATTGGCCAAGAAAACCACTGGCCCAGTGATTATTAGGTGAAAATTTTAACAATATAAAATATCCATTTTTGGATGAGAAGATATATATTTTTTTTTGGGGCCATAGATGAGAAAATATAATGCTATGACCAAAATATTTATTATAGCATGATGAGGTAATTTCACTCATCAAAAGTATTAGTTATTTTAAATAATATAATATTAAAAATTAAATATCATCTACTAATTAGATGCTAAAA